AACCCGATACTTATTTATTCGCTCACTCGTATTATTATCGTTTGAAAACATATTTGAAGATTAACAACGTTTAATTCGGCGTACTATACGTATACCGAACAGTTACTATTAAGCAGCGTGTAATCGGATTTAGTGAGAAACGTCACATACGTTCCTACGCGTTTTAGTCCCCCTCAGATTTAGATTCGACAAGCATCTTCCTGTTCACGCCCTCAAAATTGTAGGGTGCTATCGGGAAGTTGTACAACGGATCGGGCTGATTTTGTGTACGACGGGGACCGCGGACCCCTGCTCAAGGGCGGGCGCGACACTGCTTTAAATTTTAGGAGAAAAAAATATTACCATTCTGTTTCTCGTGTTGTTGCATAATATACGCGAGTATATTAAAAACGCATACCTGCCATTAAAAATATATATAACAACGATCCGAAAAATAACCTATTGTCAGTTACATAGGGGGTACAAAAGGGTAGGGGGGCATTCATAACATCATGTAATCATGAGTATTTATCATTAGTGAATTTAATCTCGAAACACGTATAGATTTCAGCCAAGTCACAAGGAAAAGCTATTGATTCGTCGATTGACAATTGTTTTTTTTTGGATTCCCATTCGTGGTTAGGCAAAGAATTTGGATGTTGAAATTCTGATTTTTGATTCTTCTATGCGTTTTAAATATTTCTAGTGCAATGAATTAAAAGGGTATTATCTTAGCAACAAGGTACGTATTTTTTTCACGGAAAACCCTATTTAGCATGTAAAAATTCTCTGCTCTGTTCATAGAATACTTAAAAAGATATTTTTGTCGTTCAGAGGTATTTAACGTGAAAATTGTTTTGAAATTCACAACAGTTTTGGTTTTCTCGCCTAATAAACAAATTGTTCACATCGTATACCATCAAAAGATAACTGCAGATTTCCACCCCGTGTCATTTTTTCACGAATGATGGTAACAATGGTTTAATTTTTTTCCGGATTACATTGGATACAAAGGAAAATAAACATGACCAATATACCAATAGCTATCGGTTTACCGATATCAATATTTACTTTATCACAGCATTTTGTATGTAGCTGACGAGTTGCTAATATCATTTTTTTATTCTTTACTGTAGTAATTTTATTAATAAATGCAAAAAACTGGCAATTTTTTTGTATTAATTTTGTTGATTTCTATAGGTTAGGGTAAGGGAAAAATACGACTGCTAATACTCAGCTTTTTTGTTATCGTGGTTTATCATTGAGTACAGTAGCAAGTTAAATAACATGTCTATATTATATACGTCCATATACTTTCCTCCAAAAACAGTGACACACCCATCAGCAGTATCAGTCTTTTGTTTATTATTATTACTTTGCTTGTCGTCTCTTTAACTGCACTTTTTTATAACGTACGTGTCATATTGCGTCATAAATGGATTATTTTTTTATATTTTTATTAGCTATATGCGGTGATTCGAATAATGCACGTAATTTCGCTGACCAATCAAATCCGATATATATTTGATAACGAAAATATTATTTATTGATCGATCATAATAATATTATTAAGATAACGAAAATACGCTATTTCACTTGTTTGTTATCATTTAAAATTTGTTTATTATTATTATTAATTTCTGTAGCGTTTAAATTTGTAATTGTAATTTTGTGTAAAAACGTTTTCTAAACATGAATTATGATGTCCGAATGGTTCGTCGAAACCATTTTGCTACAAACTTTTAAAAACTCATGACAAGTTATTAGAACGATTCCAATTTAAATGAACGTAAACGTTAATAGTTCGTGTAAAAACGCTAAAAAAAAATAAATACGAGTAACCCCTCGAAAAAATACGTTAAATTATTACAGCTGTGATTACAGCGATTACGGATCGTCTAGGAAAGGCTCGTTTCTCGTTTATTATACAGAATGATTTCTTAATCGCACTATCGGTGATACTATCTGCTCTCTCTGTATAGTCGTCACACACCTGCAAATAGACAAAACCCAAATGCTGTACGTACCTAATTATAATTATATCTCGACAACGGTTAAACACCGAAATGTATTTCAATTGTATAACCTAAAAATTCACAAATTTATGTAGAATTTTTTTGTGGAATTTTCTATTTCACCGCCTGCAAAGAAAATGATGAAAAATTGGCGAGAATCGTCTGTGTACGTTCTTAAAAAAATTATCAAAATGAAAATTTCGTTGATACATAATAGTCCCTACATAAACTTTCCGAGACAATGTGTAATGTTGTTTGGAGAATAGATATTGGGGATATAGTCGTATTCACTACATAATAGTCACGTCCCAAGTAAAAATAGATGTTAATACTAATTTCTTGAGCACATCCGAATTACGTCCCGAGCACCTACGGTGATGCCTAAAATTTCTATGCATTATGTTGTGTGATTTTTGGTTACTGTACTAGTATTATCGATTTAGTATAAAGTTTTAAAGTTTTTATTTTCTTGTTGTTGAATTCACAATATAATTACTGTCGAATTCCAGTGTGGCGGTTCCATAATCGGTTTCACAATTTCGCCATTCTCTACGTGTTACTTTTAAGCATTAACTACACAATTGTGATTATGGCGAATGAAGCATGTGGCTACTTAAGAATACTCCGTATGTAAAATTGCGAAACAATTTTTTCAGTTTATATTTTCGATTTCTACGAAAAATAATTTTATTAAATCATACCTACCTATAATAATAGTTTAAACTATTTATATACATGTAAACCAATTTTAAATATTAAATTGTAAACGGATAGAGAAATCGGTAAACCTCTATATAGTGAGTTATTTTTTAAAAATATTTTCGTTTCAATATCTTTTTTAGCCGAAATGCGGTTCGACCCTACCCTATAGGTATTTTAGGCGCATTTAAAAATTCACCCTGTACATCTGCACGTCTATTCGGGTTCGTTAACGTTATCATTATCATTTGCACAAGAATCGAGCGAATTAAACACATTATCAGTATAAACGCGGTTATAGCCGCATTACATTAAAATAATGTGTCCCGAACACGAAAATATCGACTTTGTAGCTTCGTTTTAATAGGACTCTTGTCGAACAGCGGTGTGATTAGTGGATGAACTCGTGAAGACTACGAGGACGAGTATATAGGTACCTAAATATAATTAGGTACTTATATACTGACGAAAAGAATGAAAAACGATTAAGCGAAAATAAAAACGCCAGAAGCTATTATTCCGATCGCGAGTATTATATTATTAAAAAAAAAAAAAAACACGTTAGCGCCAAAGCTCCATCACTAGTCGAATTTCTCCTTCATTTATTTTGTGCTGCTGAAATATATTTTCGCTAAACAATAAATAACCAAATACCATAATAAGACAATCTACGTGCATTAAACTATTCTAAAATGGGATTTATTATTTCTAAAAAAAAAAAAAAAAAAATAGTGAAATTTGAGGCTTGACTATAAAAATAGTTGGGATGGGAGTTGAAAATTGAAAAAACTCAAAAACTTCAACATCTTTAATACTATAACGTCATGCAAATTTGAAAAGGTCTGGAAATGGCTCGGAAAGGCCCGAAGAAATGTTTTAAAGAAAGGCGTACAAATTCATATTTTCCAGACATACGTCAACTCACTTATTGTAGCAACTGGTAGTATTACCTGTTATGTCCACAGGTAAGAGGGTATTTCAACTTTGAAAAACGATTAAATCTTATTTGAGATAATCGTTCGAATGATGTTGTATTAAAAAATATCCACGGTAAAACTAATGCGAAATCAGAAGACGTTAAAGTTTGTTCGCCAAACACATTTTTAGGCGTTTACAATTATTGTAATACATTAAAACTGTCATTTAACGGTCACCGTCAGGGTACCGGAAATAATGACGGTTATTTAGATGTGACCGTCCTTTAGAAGTGTCCAGTAGAGGCATAACACTTGGCGGGACTAAAAAATATGATCGATACGTAGAGGTGAGATCGTTAACGAAAGTTTTGTTGTATGCACAGACATTTTTAATTTTAATTTTTACTATTAATATTTTACTGAATTCAAATACAACAAAAAAAACAAAAAAATTGCTATACAGTTATTAGGATGGTTTTTTTTTTTTTTTATTAACATATATCAATATTGTGAACAACTGAACAACTTTACGCCATTTCCTCTTAAAAAAAAAAAAATCCTAGACTGCTACTGGGCAAATATTTACATACATTCGTTACAAAATATAGTGAAATAGTCGAAATAATTTCGAGGAAAGTTCGACAAAAAGAAGCAGAGTCGACAGTACGATCAATTCTGTAAATTGGTTTATCAGATTTGTAGATAAAGTACAAAAATAAATCGGTGTGAAAAAAAAATCATACAATGATATTGGAAAGGGACGTCGAGCTGAAAAGTGAGGATTTTTTTCATACTCGAAGTACAAGGGGGAACAAAACTGCAGTTATATTTTCGAAATATCTCCCACCCAGAAAAAGAAATGTGAATTATTTATCAGTGTCAGCCGTACACGTAGTAAAGAAAAAACGTATGCAAAATTGCCCGTTCTCAAAACCAAAGTTCTCCACTGTCACGGGCGGGAAGTTGGTAATGTAAGACATATAGGATCACTTAATTTATAATTGTGCCGATATGAATCATTGTTGCTGACAGAATAAGATTCCGGGCCTATTCGGTTAAACGTGTTTTGAAACGGCGTAATTTTTACGATTATCGTCGACATTTTAACTTTCTCAATACACCGAATTGATCCAAAACGCTCTGTTTTCGTTTTTCGCGTGATTTCTGGTGAACGAATGGTTTACGAATGGGTTAGGGGGGGAGAATAGCTCGCATCATTGTAAAACCAATTAAATTCTTTTGAGAAAAAAAAAAAAAACGCGCGAAAGCCGAACATGTTATTATGAGGAAATTGTAAACTTTAAGCTTGTGCACAGTAACACGGCGATAACGGAATTAAGAAAATTGCCGCGAGGCCTGGCGGCGTCGGCGCGTACGGAACGAGCGGCGGATGTCGTGCGGCCGGGTCGGCGGGAGGAGCGGGACGGCAGAGGGGGAATACGAGGAAAAAGTAGACTCGGCGGGACCGTCGCCGCCGCCGCCGCCGCCGCTGCCACCGCCGGAGAGAGGCCGTAAAGGCGTCGGGACGCCGCCGCCGCCGCCACCGCCGCCGCCGTGTCAGCGCCAGATGCCGCTGCGACCGGGCGACTCCCGGGTTATGATTTATCTGTTGCTATCGCCGACTTATTACGTTGTCTCGGCCGGCGCATTCGGCTCTGTTCTTGTCATGTTTACAACCGCACTGCGAGCCTCCGCCGCCGTCTTTTTGCGGCTCATCTGACTGTGACTTCTTGAGCGCGCAGTTAATCATTTTCTTGCCCCTCTGCGCGCGTGCGCGAACGCCGTGTTCCGCGGAGGCAAGAAATACGTGGCGTGTAATAGGATTACGTACGCTGCGAGAGGAAAAACCGTCGCCGTCGCCTTTGCGTATTTCCCGGCGGTGGCGGCGACGGCGGCAGCGCGATAATTGGTTTTCAAACGTCCCGGAAAATCGCGGGTCCGACGCGCGCCACATTTTCTTAATCGATTTTCTTAACGGAATCCCGCGACGATTTCCCGACACGTCTGTACGCCGTATTTAAGATTCGGAGTGGAGCGAGGAATGTATTGGTTTTACAACGATGTTTTTTCTTGTTTTCCATCTGCGAACAACATTTCTACCAGAAGTGTACCGCCTTTTCTTTTGGTGCTTGATTTTTTTCAAGGTTTTTCATAATAAATGAGAAAAACGGCAAGATTTACGAAATGTGTTATTTGTGCAAATCGTAAATATTACGGCCTTTCAAAACATGTATTACCGAACTCCGTTCAGAGAATCGTTTTTCGTTAACTGTGATTAATCGTCGCGTACAGATATAATTAGTAATTGCTCCTCTCCAGCTTCTCACCTATACAAAAATGGTCCACCCAATCACGTAAAGTATGTCCGTTTGTTTGTTTTTTTTTTTTTCATATCATACATCACGTTTTAATTTTTTTTCGCGTAAATGCCATAGATACAATTAATGAATATCAATTTTTTTTTTTTATTTTTGAAAAACAATCATCGCGTACAATCGGAATTCGCCTCGTTTTGTTTCCTATAAATCTGAATATAGATACGCAACACAATCGTTATTCATATTTTTGATACATTATTGCTGATGACAAATAATATCGAAATATTCGAAAATGTCGACGTCTTGTAGGTTTTGATTCTCGGATCTCAGATACGATACGTGCGCCCGTACGATACGCACCTCTCGTCTTGTTTTTAAACGTTAAAACAGTCCGGTATCCACAGTATGTTTTCGAAAATATTACTCGTATCATCCGCGTATCTTCTGTGCGCATACATCTTTTGCGCCGGCGTTTTTCCCGTCCTTGGCCATCGTCCGGTTTACGATATACAATAGTTCAATGGTTGTGCGAACGACGAACGAAAACGCCACTGCCGAGAAAACGACAGGCATTCCGACCGTTTTTATATACTATTTCAAAAGTACGTTTTTCCTTCTCCCCCCGACGACCACGCTCTTCTCCGCCGCCCGCGTATAACTTTTTAATGTTTTTACTATTATTTGTTGTTTTTTTGTTTTTTTTTCCCCCATATATATATATGTATATAATTTATATTTCAACTATAAATGATTATTATTATTATTATATATATATATATATATTTTTACTTTCGGAAACTCAATTTCCGGACTTAATATTAAACATTATTCGAAAGGCGGACTTTAGTGCGGAGTTCGCTCGGGGATTCCGGGAACCGCGGTATACTACGCTGCAGTAATTTCTTCGGCGGCTGATGCTGAAAGCAACCAAGTACACCTACCGAAATGCTGCGCAACACGGTAAAATTTAATGCAAATAACAAATTATATTATTTTTCGGCGGTCATTGTGCAAATTACTTATGTACTTTGATTCAGTTGCCGACCTCGAGTCGACGACGAATCTTGAAAACCGCCAGGGAATGTTATAATTTATTTTCATTCGGCGGTTTTAAACGAGCCCTTCGTTTGTGGACACGTCCGCCCGAAATGTCGTCTGTCCGGGCCGTAGACGCCTCGCCGTTTTTGTGGACATTTTCAGCACACCACCAAGAACCAAAACAATATATATTGTAATAAATTTGTATTATAGATACACAAAACAACAACAGACAACCGAGTAAATCTAAAACTCGGCACTTGCAATCCGTCATATACCAATAATACAAAGTAATTAATTTTACTGATTTATCCGTGAAATGTTTACAAAGGAAAATTGTTAGAATCTGTTTAGGTAAAAATATCTCGATAAGTTAGGACGTTTCAGGCCATTAGATGTATTACCAGTCGAGAGCCATAAGAAGGCAATTACACAAAATAAAAAATATGAAACACTTTTGAATGCGCAAAATATAAGAATAAAAAGGTGTTGTTGAAATAAATTATTACGAAAAATCATTTGGTCGAAAATGCATAGATTATTTAAGTCCTAAACATTATAATTAAATGCCAATACATATAAAAAAAAAAACCATATACTATTCAATTGGGAATCTTAGAATTGCTTGTATCAAAAACAAAACAGTGTGAAAATAGTTCTTAAATGTAACATTATTAATGTTTTTGTATTGCATTGTCTTGTTGTTCTACGCTATTTTATTATATTTAAATTAATTTATACTCTTTTTTAATATAATAAATAGATTCTGAGTTGAGCGCAGAAGCTTATGGTTTTACAATGATTTTTTTTTTGTTTTATCCACGAACAACTTTTTCTGAAAGAAAATCTGACTCGGGTGGTCCTTTAGGGAGGTTATTTTTGCGATTTTCCCAGCTGTTCAACCCGTTCACAGCATAGACCGACGAACCGCGTGTAGAGCGCAGACCGTTTCGGAAAAAAACAAAAAATGTCAAAACGTCAACCGCACACGGGCGGAACGCACAAACGATAATAATTTCACTAGCCCGAACGATCGTTGTGATATCGTCCAATCGTCGAACTGTCAGAGGACGCGTGTAATACGAGAGTCGATTTTAATATATTTGTTTCCCCCCCCCGTTTTATTACCGGAAAACGCGCCCACATAGGATTTTCACTGTCCCTCCCCCTTAATCCACTGTCCATAATTATATTAGTTGTAACACTTATGTGGTATTATGTAAATCGCGTAACACAATATATTATATACTGTATGTATACTACGTACGTACTGAGCGCGGTCGTCGTGAAAAAACCCGACGGAGGTGACGTTTTTTTTTTTTTTTTTTTTTCTGAAACCTGAGAACCGCCGAACGTGCCGGAGCGACCGACGTTCCGGTTGGCTCTTCGCTCGTCCGAATCCGTCGCGGTTTATTTTCGATCCGTAGGAAAAAAAAATAAATAAATAAAATAAAACCCCGCCGGCCAACAGTTGCGCTCTGTACCTATACACTCGGTGCGCCCGTCTCGGACATTTACCGCGTCGCCATTCTCCGTCCGCGGTCCTCCGGGGTCCCGTCTTTTTCCCGGTCGCGCACGCACATCGGCCGGTGTACAACGTAATAACGTATAAAAATATTGCGTGGGTGCGGCGAATCACTCGATAATGTACATGTATACTGTACTGTGCTGCCCCGTTGTAGTGTACGCGCAGTATGAAATATACGCGGAGAGAAAGGTCAAGCCGGTTGACAATAATAATAATAATAATAATAATAATAATAATGATTTTACGATCCGTCGTCGTTTTCCTGTCACACAGCTGCTGCCGCATCGTCCCGCAGCAACGGTTTCCCTCCTCTTCCTCGCCACCCCCTCCGTTTTCAGAACCGTATAGGATATTATTACTGTGTAGATATGTAGTCGCCAGAGCTCGTGTATACGTGTATTTATATAAACGGCCGTGTAAATAAAGCGCGAAACGGCACGTATTTCGATAATAATAATAATAATAACACCGTACAGATAGCCCTTTTTTCCCCCCTTTTTTTTTTTTTTTTTTTTTTTTACAAACAGTGTCTAGACCGTAAAAAAAATCGCCACGACCGACGGGGACGGGGACGTGTGCGCGTATTATACGCTGACACGCGTAAAAAGACACTATGTATAGCGTATGTAGCGATCTCCGGGCAATTATTTTCTTTGTTTTCAGTCTAAAACTATATTATTATATTCGAATCCGACTGAAAAAACCGAATCGACAAAACCCGTTACTATTTTGGTTTTAGGAGATTTGATATCGTTTCGATATAAACGGTTTAAACCTCTACGGTCCATGGTTTGTCGAACAACCAAAACATATACGTGTAGTTTTTTTGTTTCAATTTACGAGAAATTTCATAAAGGAGTTTTTTTTTTTTTTTTTTTAGACAACAGTCGGTCCAATATTATTTATTTATATTGATGTACATCGAGTATTGTAGTTTTCGATAGACGAAACAAGCATCTCGACGTTGTGAGTAATCACGACCGAATTTGCAACACGAAACAATATAAGATGGACGGTTGAGAAATAAAAACAGATAATATTTTTCTTGTCCTCTTTTACGAAAATATGTTGGCGGTCTGGAGTTTAATAGCAGACTGAAACGATTTCCCCGATCAAATCCAAATGTATTGAAACAGAAAGAGCCTCTGTGCAATAACGATATCTTCCGAATAAGATCGTTCGGTAATAAAAGTTAACATTTTCTACTGAAACGACGTCGCGAGTCTTAATTATCGATTAAGGTCCGCGGGGTCACGTCACACTCGGCGCTATTGAATTAAATCGCGCCAGGACTCACGGAAATTACATTAAAAATTAAAGTTCTTAACATCGTTACTGTTAAAACTAATAGCTGTTTTGTAATATCACTTTATTTTTTCTCTCGGCTCTCAGTGAACCGTACCACAGTGCCTACCTCCTCGAATGCTAATATACTACTCGAATGACATCTATGGAAAACGTCGGGCACCAAAAGCGACGCGCAAACTCTTCGTGTTTTCCCCGGGAAGCCGTCCCGAGTGTTTTCGCGCGTCTATTACATAATCGTGTCAAGTGTTTTTGTTTTTTGTTACGTCGGAGGTGATTTTCCTTTTTTTTCCCCCCTCCAATACACCGTGAAAGTGTCAATTACATACAATTAACAAAGTGCCTTGCCGTCGCCGTCGCGATAATCGCTCGTCAAGAACGGCGCTGCGAAACGCAGGCGTCGGCGAGTAAGAGTTAATGACATTTTAACATATTTAAAAATGAGAAGAATTTTAAAGAAAACGAAAATTGCCAGGATCTTTTTTTTTTTTTTTTACACATTATACTTTCGATATTTGCACGCCCACGCGA